TGCTGAGTCCTCGGCGGCGGCGGCTCAGTCACTCGTATTGCCCTTTTTTAATGTGAACAGATTGACATCGAGTTCCTAAAGAAAAATCATAGAAATGAAACTTTGGATGCATCAAAGATAGTGCTATAATTTTTGGATGGGCTGTTTCCTTGACAACCGTTTAGTTGTCTATTACTTGGAGAATTTCAGAGAAATCCCTGGCCTACCTTTCGATGCTCAGGCCCAGCTGCCCCGCGACTCTCAGTCATCCTGTTCTGGCCACCCACTCCTTGTGACAAGGTCGGCCCCTCAGCCCTTGGCTGAGGTCTGTAAAGTATCCAGGAAGCCTCGCACTGTAACCAGGAACAGAGGGGACAGTGATGATCTGTTGTCTGAAAATTCTCCCCAAAGCCAGGTGTCCAAAAGCCACTTATTGTATGATTCCATATATGTGCAATGCCCAGAATAGGCCAATTCATAGAGACAGGAGAGTGGATTAGTGGTTGCCTGGGGCTGGGTGGAGGAGAGAATGGGAAGTGACTGCTAGTAGATATAGAGGTGTTTTTTTTTTTAGGTGAAATGTTCTGGGATTATTAGTGGGGATTGTTGTACAACCTGTGAATATACTACCAACCACTCAAGTGGTGACTCTAAAATACTTATTAAACTCATAAAATTCTAAAAGGGTGAATTTTATGGTAGGCGAATTATCTCAATAAAGTTTGTTTGTTTTTTAAGCCAGGCATCCTAAGAATATGCTTGGTCCTGGTAGGCTCCTACCCACAACTGCATGGGGTAGCAGTGGGGGGAGAAGTGAGGGGCTGAGGGTTGGAAGACTTGAACAATTGACTCTGAGCAGGTCCATGTGGTATCATCTCCTCCGCTGTAAAGTAGGGCCCTGGGCCCTGGGCCATGGTGGGAAATGGTGGGAAGGTGAGGAGGCTGAGAGCTTGGGGCGGGGCACCTCCTCTCTTCATGGAGCTAAGATTTCTCCTCACTTGTTTGTACAGAGTTATTTCAATACAATAACTCTTGTCCTCGTTGTTTTTACTGAGTCATTCACTCTGAAAGAAGGAACCTCAGCCAAGGCCCCCCGTGTGCCATTTAGCTTCAACCTTTGGCTTAAACATAAATCTACTGTTATTCTCCATGGATTTATGAGGCATCAAAGATTGTATGAAATGTTCCCTCACCTAGTTGTTAATTAATATGTGGCAAGCACTTAGAAAAATGCCTGGCACATGGTTAGTTTTACGTAAGTGTTAGCTAAGATAATTCGTCTCCTGGTGTTTTAATCTCTGCCTCTTAGGCTCCAAAGGTCTGACTGGCTCTTGGTTAAAAGGTTTTTTTAAAAAAATATATATATATTTTTATTGATTTCAGAGAGAAGAAGGGAGAAGGAGAGCGACAAACATCAATGATGAGAATCACTGATTGGCTGCCTCCTGCATGCTCCCTACTGGGGATTGAGCCCGAAACCTGGGCATATGCCCTGACCAGGAATTGAACCAGGAAAATCATAGGTTTTTCTTTTATATATATATATATTCAGAGAGGAAGCGAGAGGGAGAGAGAGATAGAAACATCAATGATGATAGAGAACCTCCATTGATCACAACCTGGGCCTGTGCCCTGACCAGGAATCAATCTGTGACCTCCTGGTTCATGGGTCGATGCTCAACCAATGAGCAACATCAGCTGGGCTAAAAGGTTTTTCTAGCCATCTACCAAACTTCAGCTTTCTATTTTCTCTACCACTTTTTTTTTTTTTTAAGAATTTTGCAGATGTAATTAAGGTCCCAAATCAGTTGATTCTAAGAAGGAAGATTATCTTCAGTGGGTTTGACCTAATCAGGTCAGAACTTGATTAGTCTTTTTTAAAAAAAAAATTATTGATTTCAGAGAGGAAGGGAGAGGGAAAGAAAGACAGAAACACCAATGATGAGAGAGAATCATTGATCAGCTGCCTCCTCCACGCCCCGCACTGGGGCTTGAGCCCACAACCTGGGCATGTGCCCTGACCAGGAATTGAACTGAGATCTCCTGGCTTATAGGTTGACACTCAACCACTGACACACAGTAGCTGGGCTCTAGCACTTTTTGGGTTTATTTCCTTGCTTTGTTCCTTGGAGTGTTTGGGATTAAATTAATCATATTCCTCGTGTCATGGCATTTATCGTAATAGGTCTTCTTCAAGCCCCTCATTTTAAAAAATGTAACTAATTAATTTATTTCCCCCACTTATCTCATAAACCATTTCCATTCACTTCCCCCCAAGATAGGGAAACATTTTGATGTATTTAATATATAGCATTGTATTTAAAGCTGTTCCTATAAAAAAGTATATTATCTTTAGTTGTTGTTGTTTTAATCATCACCCAAGGATATTTTTTCCATTGATTTTTAGAGAAAGTTGAAGGTAGGGAAAGAGGGGAGAGAGAGAGACATCAATGTGAGAGAGAGAAATAAATTGGTTGCCTTCCAACCCAGGTACATACCCTTGACCAGGAATTGAACCCGTAACCCTTTAGTGTGTGGGCCAACATTCTAACCACCGAGCACACTAGCCAGGGAAGTATATTGTTATCTTTGTATAATATTTTGTCCAGTATGTATTTTTGTTTTATAGATTGTATTTTTCACCTTTAAAAGTTCCATTGGGCCCTAGCTGGTTTGGCTCAGTGGATAGAGCATCAGCCTACGGACTGAAGGGTCCCAGGTTTGATTCCTGTCAAGGACATGTAACTCAGTTGCAGGCTCGATCCCCTACCCCAGGTTGGGTGTGTGCAGGAGGCAACCAATCAATGTGTCTCTCTCACATCGGTGTTTCTCTCTCTCTCTCTGTCTCTCCCCCTCCCTTCCACTCTCTCTAAAAACCAACGAAAAATTATCCTTGGGTGAGGATTATTTTTAAAAATTTCATTGAGTCTTTTCTTTATCTTCCATTTTTCTTATTATATTTATGTTTTCCTTTACTTTCTCTTGAGCATATTTATAGTATTTAAAATACCTGTTTTAATGTCCTTGTCAGTTAGTTCCATGATCTCTGTCATTTCTGGATCTAGTTCCAGAAATTGACTGACAATTTTCCTGATCATATTTTCCTGTTTCTCTACATCCCTATATATTTTTTTTTTATTCTTGATTTCAGAGAGGAAGGGAAAGGGAGAGATAGAAACAGCAATGATGAGAGAGAATCATTGATTGGCTGCCTCCTGCACACCCCCTACTGGGGATTGAGCCCAAAACCCAGGCATTGCCCTTGACCGGAACCGAACCGGAGGCCCTTCAGTCCTCAGGCCAACGCTTTAACCATTGAACCAAACCAGCTAGGGCTACATTTTTTTTTAAGTAGGCTTTATTTTTTAGAGCAGCTTTAGGTTTTATTGTCACTGCAGACAAGTGAGAATATGACCTCGTGCTAACATATCTGAAAAACTAAGGCAAGATAACCATCTTGTTGTGGAAACAATTAAAAGCATGGTAGGTGGAGCAGGAAGTGGTTACATCTACCATTTGGAAGCTTACTACAACCCGGGAGAAGTTAAAAGATGCTAAAAATCATCAAATTTAAATGCAATTACTTTGACTTTATATTAGCTGGGGCTTTGACTCTATTCTTCAGTATAAGACATGGAAGTGTGATAGCAAAGCTGACCAAATGAATTTCAATATATTGAACTCTAACTTTCCATTAATTTCTCTTATAAAATTGGAGCTACATTTCTTTATGCGGAGGCAGGGCTGGTGGTGGAGGGAGAACTGGTGAGAAGCCTTCATGTCCAGCCTGAAACAGACTGCGTGTTTTAATGCACCATCAGCACAGTGTCTGCCACTAGTCAGGAGTGAAGCTGCACTCCTGGAGGGCAGGAATGTCTTTAGCTTCTGTGCACTTTGCATCTAACTCACTGTCTGGTTCATGGCAAGGGCTTGACACTTGTCACTGAATAAGTGCTAAAATGGCCAAGTAAAGAGAGATTGTAATTCATGCTGGGTGTTGTGTAGTATGCCTTGGGAACTCTAATTCTTTCCCAGCTCTGAGATCTTCTCCACCTTTTCCAAATATCACCATGTGAGTGTGCATGCCTGTAGATGCACACACACAAGCACACCCCATATGGGTTTCTTTTTTATGAGGGACTCAGCTCCCACAACATTATCAATGAGTCACCTGAGTCTCATGTCAAACGGTGAATCATTGGGAGTGATACTCTGCAGAAACCTTGTGCACAGGTTAAAGACAACCTGCTTCCAGCACAATTTAATGCGCGTCTACTCTGTGCCCATCCAGACATGTGGGGCAGTAGTGGGCACCACCACTGACACTTCAAGTGGCTGTTCATGAATTCTGCAATCAGGGTGAAGAACAGAGGCTTGTTCACTGCTCTCCCTACTCAGTTCTCCTTGGCACATTCTCTTACCACCATAAGTGCTACCCTCCCATCTGACTGTCATCTTAGCATAAATCCTGGCCCACGCCAAGCTCCTGAGTCACTTGAATGCTCTTGCATCACTCCTGTCTCAGGTTCCTTCAGTGACAGCTCTTCGAGCCTTCACCCTCCCCTCCGAGGCTGTCCTGTGTCACCTCCACCTACAACTCGCTTGTCGGCTCTGCTCACTCCCTGCCCTTGTTCCTTGGCCCTGTGCAGACGTGCAGACGTGCCACTCCAAGGAGAACTCCAGGTTCCCCTTTGGGCTTCTCTCCTCCCTGTCTTGGGCCATATCCAAGGGTGTGTCCATGCCCTAGCTTGGAGAGGCTTTGTGCCAACGTATGAGAAGGAGCCTAAACTAAAATCTATAAGCAATTAAATGCTTAATATACATAAGTATTTGAACTAAAAATTATGAACATTTTAAAAATTACAGTAGTATGTGAACAATGCTGAGAAGTACCTATATATTTTTTTCATTAGTTTATTATAAAAGAAACATGGAAATTATTTACATGATGAAAGATTTCAGAACTTCAACGCTGAGAAGTATCTATATATTTTTTCATTAGTTTATTATAAAAGAAACACGGAAATTATTTACATGACGAAAGATTTCAGAACTTCAATGGAATGGGCAGCTTCACATGATGCCATTTCAATAGTGATTTATTTCAGTCTACTGGTACATACTTTCCAGGAATGTCACCACCTCTAAATAAGAAACAATCCTTGTCGTCTAGAACTACTTCGGTGCCTCCATATTCTGGAAGGAGACCTTTATCTCCAACTGTCACGCTAACAGGTTGAATCTCTCCACCCTTTCCTTTGGAGCCCGATCCAATAGGGACCACTATGGCTTGCAATACTTTTCCTTGAGGTTTTTCTGGAAGCATCATGCCTCCTTTGGTTACAGTTTCTGCAGCACTGCTTTCAGCTAATACTTGGTCAAAGCGGGGAAGGAACTTCCTAAAGGCCTGTCCTGCCATGACTCCGACCACGGCCACCTATGCTCCGCTGTCGCACCGCGGCTGCAAGGAGAGACCTGCAGTCGCTGCTGGCCACTATATTTGTTGACTCTCATTTTATCTCCTGGAATCTGTCCCCAGGGAGGAAAAAAGACTGATCTATAAAGATGTTCATCACAGCATTATTTACAACAGGGGGAAAAATGGAAACCAACCAAATATCTAAAAATAACCACCCCTAGAAATCTTGCTTTTGCCAAATATTTGATAACGTAGGAAAGTGCTTGGGATGTGGAATAAGGTGAAAATACTAGAATGCTGAACTGTTTGCATAATACTGGGAGGTGAACTCAGAACTGAGTACAAGCTGAGCAGTGAAACCAGGATTTGAGGGATAGCTCTGCCACTTCTTAGCTGTGTGACTCTGGTCCAGGTGAGCAAACTTTTCTTAGCCTCTGATTCCTCATCTACAAAACGGGGATAATAACATCAGCTTCCACGTAGAGATGTCCTGAACATAATGTATGCAAAACAGCACCATGCCTGCTGGTAGATATTATTATTATTATTACTTCACAGTTGGACTTTAGGGGACAGGGATCCCCAGGGCATTGGTGGTAGGATGGGCTGGGAGATATTGCTGTTCTTAAAAGAATGCGGAGTGGGAGAAACAGAGCAGAGGACAAGAAAAGAAGTTGGTTGGCAAAGGGAAGAGATGCACCGTCAGGAATAAAGATACCATTCGACCGCTTTCCCAGAATTGCTCCGCCAGGTACAGCCTCCCTTTTCCAGGCTTCTGTTCCACAGTTTCCTTCCCTCTGGCTGGATCTGTGATACTTTCTTTGAGAAGCTGCCAAGACAATCCACCCATAGAAAAGGGGGAAGTCCAAACCACAGGACTCTTTGCCTAAGAATCTGCTGTCCTCAGCCAACAATCTCTATTATAGAAAGGAAAACTTTCCAGGTATTTGGTTTGGAGGTGGAAATTTATGGCCAGGAGAGAAGTGCGACTGAGTCAGGCCACCGAGCCTTGCTAAAGGGGTGTGCCCGCCCCGCCCTGCTGGCCCAGGCAGGGGAACCCAGGCCTCCCTAGACTTTCTGTTGGCCCTGGCAGTGCTTGTTGAAGCAACCTGCACCTTTGCACGCAGTGGCTTCTGTGAGCACCAGGGAAAGGAGCTCAGGAGGATGGGGAGGAAGTTGGCAGCATCACCAACCCAGTGCCCCAGACAGCTCCTGCTCGGTCCTGAAGGCGCTAAATGAATGATTTCCCTGAGCCCAGGCCCTAACTCCAGGAAGCCACAGAGCTCCTGAATTCACAACCCCACAAGATTTTCTGCCCTTTTCGCAGTGATGAGGTGCCTGGGGATCCCCACCCGCGTGATCACCAACTTTGACTCTGGCCACGACACAGACGGGAACCTGATCATAGATGAGTACTACGACAACACGGGCAGGATTTTGGAGAATAAGAAGGACACTGTCTGGTGAGAGACAACTTCTCGTTCTCTTTGTAGGGCGAACCCCACCAGAAGAAGTGAGTCCATGAGCCTGATGCCCTCTCATGCCCCCCACCCCCACTTTCCCCAGCCCTGCGGCTCAGTCTCCCCAACCCAAAGGCTGGGACACAGCTCAACACAAAAACAATGGTTTTGAGTTTAGAATCTAAACATCACAAGAGCTCCCTGTCCTGGCTGAGGTTTTCCTCTTTGCCGCCTCCTTCATTCAATACTCAGCCTGTGGCTGCAGGAGGACCAAAGTCTCACCTCCAGACACAAAGACCATGATTGCCTGTGAGTCAGCAGCACCCACAGGAAATGGCACAAGGAATTTCTGGGAGAGAGAGAGAGAGAGAGAGAGAGAGAGAGAGAGTGAGTTAGTTTTGAACTTCAGTCGGCGCTGGAAGCCTTCATTCTCTTGTCACCAACAGAGGAAAGCTCCTTTCAGGGCAGGTTGGGCTCACAGGAGGAAGAGCCATCACTACTCACCCACAGAGGTTTGAAGGCCTGGGGGTGCTAAGTCTGTCTTTCTACCGGTCAGTGCACCTGCTCATTGTCCACTACAAACTTGCCCTTAGCTTATCTGACACTGGCTCCTGTGGCTTCTCCCTCAGGAACTTCCATGTCTGGAACGAGTGCTGGATGGCCCGAAAGGACCTCCCTCCCGGATACGGAGGCTGGCAGGTGCTGGACTCCACGCCTCAGGAGAGGAGCAATGGTGAGGCTCTCCATGGGAAAGGCAGAACCCACTCCCACGGAAACAGCCCTCGGCCCCGCCGGTCCCTGCAACGGCCCTCATGGCTCTTCCGTTCTCCTCCAGGCATGTTCTGCTGCGGCCCTGCCTCCGTCAGAGCCATCAAAGAGGGAGAGGTGGATCTGAACTACGACACGGCCTTTGTCTTTTCCATGGTGAATGCCGACTGTGTGTGCTGGCTCGTCCATGGAGGAAAGGAGCAGAGGCTTCACCGGGACACGCATTCTGTGGGCAATTTTATCAGCACCAAGAGCATCCGGAGTGATGAGCGGGATGACATCACGGAGAACTACAAGTATGAAGAAGGTATGACTATACCAGCCCCCTCAGAGTCCAGGTCCTGTGGGCACCTTCCCCCTCAGCCAGCTGGAACAGGCCTCTGGGGAACAGAGGGTGTCTGCGGGGCAGGACCCAGGTCCATCTCAGCCCTTCAGTTTTGAGTTCCCAGTCCAGGCATCCCACTGCCTCACTTCCTCATGCCCCCCACCCCACCCCCATCCCACAGGCCAGTGAGCACTTTCCCACAGACATTCACATTGACTATAGGGCCATTGACAGGCATCTTATCAACAGTATATGAATTCCTCAGCCCTGCCTTCCCCGCAAATCAGCCTCCCACTGGAGATGGGGGCATTTAGTAAAAAAAAAACACCAAACGCTTATTAATTAATTAAATTAATTTCCTTTAATGTATTGTTTAATTTACTGTGTTTTATTGGGTGTTTGGAGGACAAAATAGGTCACCAGTCAGCACCCAGGCTGCTATAAGGCCATATGCTCACTCTTGTGCCCTCCCCCTGCAGAAGATGATTTGGAGATGTGGGAGACCTGGCAGGGGCTTCTTATCCAAGCCAGCAGGGGCAAAGGGGCAGCTAAATTAGTCAGCCGTGGATTAATTCCTGGAAATTGAGGAAGACCAGTCACCAAGTTCAATCACTAGGGAGCCAAGCAAAAATATCCAGCCCATGAGGGCCAGAAGCAGGGTGAGGGGCAGGATCCGAGGAAGATGGATCGGGAATGTGTGGAGGGTGGGGGAGGGTGAGCAATTGCTGGGAATGCTGGCAAGTGGGTGTCTGTGGTCTGTCTATGTGGGCCTTTGGGGACACCATAGAGAAGCTCCAAAATCCAAGCCTAGGAAGGCGCTACACAGCAATACCGTCCATCCCCTCCCCACCCCCATCGACTCTGGGTTATCTTGGTTGGGGTGCCCAGAAACAGATCCTGAGGCAAGGATTCAAGTACACGTGGTTTATCTGTGAGGCAATGCAGGAACTACTGGAAGGAAGGAGAGTGAGCAAGAGAGACAGGGAAGGGGAGGGAGCCAGTGCAGGGGCCCCATCAAGCCTGTTCGAAGGTGGGCGGCAGGAGCTCAGGCCGGCTGGGGAGCTCTGACAGTGAGGTTGCCAGAGAAAATTCAGGATGAATAATGCTTTAGTCTAACCATGTCTCCAATTATTTGTTGTTTATCTGAAATTCAAATTAAATGGCCCTGTATTTTTATTTGCTAACTCTGACCACCCTATCAGGGATTCAGTGTAAAGTGTAGAACCACATCCAGGGTCAGCGATTGTCCATCTTGTTCATCTCATGGCACACATACACTAATTACTAAAATTCTGCAGTACACCAAAAAGATATTTTTTGCTGATCTGACAAAAATATGTATAATTTTGAGTCATTCACACCAGGTGCCTATTGTTGTGCTGGCTGTTGTCATTTTTTATTTGACAATCTAAGGGAAAAGAGGTCAGTGCCCTGACTAAATAGTCACATATTGCATGTTTTAAAAATTCTTGGGGCACACAGGTTGAAAATCGCTGCCCTAGATTTATTCCACCCAAGAGGCAAGGAGCTATTATTTATCCACCAAATCCTGTTGGTCATGGGTTGCGGGTGTAAATTCTCTAGCACTTTTGGTCTGCCCCATGCAAGAACAGAGAAAGCCTCAGGCAAAGAGTAGTAGCAGATGCTAGAATTTGAAAATTAGGGCACATAGGCATTGAAATGGCAAATGCCAAGGCAATATGGGTGGGGCATGGGCAGCATTTGCTACAAGGTCCACAGGGTTCCCTGTGAAGTTGGGGGATCTGGAGCTATATTCCAGTGGGCCTGAGTGTGCTGCTCAGCCAGGCAGTATTCTGTCTCCTCCCACCCAGCCTGACAAGATCTGAAGGCAGAGCAAACCACAGATGAGTTAAACCTGACCCACATCTCTCTGGGTCCACTCTTACTGAAGCCAGTGTCTCAAGATTCTCTTCTGCATGAAACAAGGCTTAGAACAACCTCCAGAGCAAGGGGACACAAGTGGCCTCTGCCTGGGAGGTGGTGGGGATGCACTAAGGGGGTAAAGCGGGGCCCTGGCGACAGTAAGTGTTCAGTGAAGGCAGCTGCTGGGATTATTAGGGAAGCACGGTGAGTACCCCTGACCCCTGTACTTCCCGGCCACCGCGCCCCCCTAGGACTGAGATCTGGGTGCTCTGGGAACTCAGCTTGACTGAGTTCCTCTTATTTTTTTCCCTGTGGTTTTCATCTCTCAATATCCAGGTAGTCTACACCTGACTAATAATGTAGTGCTGGAACCGAAATCAAATCATGCCCTGCTGTCTTGAAGGGCATTTGTGGGCCTTTGTCTTCCCCATGGTATAGTGACAATATTATAGTCCAGTGGTCGGCAAACTCATTAGTCAACAGAGCCAAATATCAACAGTACAACGATTGACATTTCTTTTGAGAGCCAAATTTTTTAAACTTAAACTATATAGGTAGGTACATTGTTATTAACTTAATTAGGGTACTCCTAAGGCTTAGGAAGAGCCACACTCAAGGGGCCAAAGAGCCGCA